AGGGGTGGAAGGGATGCTAGAAATACTGTGGATTATGGAACAGTGGCAGTGGTCGTGGGGTCTCCTTTGTAGAAAATAAAAGGTTTGGTTTGTCCAGTCCTCTCCTCCTGAGCTCACCGTTTTGAAACCATTCCATATCCATCCTGCTACCCTAAATCCCCCATAGGTTATCAACTACTCCAAAATTGGCACCCCAAAATTGAGCACCCAGGTGCGAGGAAACTTCCTTCCTTGTCTTGTATCCACCCGCTCCCTTTCATACATCCTGCAACGAGATTGGGCTTCCCTAGGGGAACATCCCTAACCCACTCCATGGGGGAGGACCCTAGCGCTTTCCTGTAACCTCTCTGCTGCTCCCCCAAGCATGGGGAGCTCCAGATTTCACCAGCATATGCTGAAGAGCAAATGCAAGAGGACAGAGCGGGCCCAGCATCCTTTCAAGCCTCAGCATAATTTGCCCTACACCTAACCTGACAGGAAAAGCCAGTCCAAGGCATGAGATACCCTTCAACAACATCAAGCCTGATACCTCACCAGCGACAGCATGAGCCAGCCAAGCGTACTGCACTGTCACCATCCCAGCGAACGGGGCTCCCTCAGGCCCACAACGAGCCCCAGATCTGGCAGCTAAGCTATCCTTTAAACACAACACGCACATAGACACACACAGACACCATGCAAACTGCCGCCGCTCAGAAACCGCATGCTCCCACTGAGCTCCGTACTGTCCCAGTGACACAAGCCACCCCTGCGGCATGCAGAAGGAAACACCAGCCAAGCTAACCCCATGAGAGGCTGCAGGGATAAAGTTTATCTTGGGTTGGAGGAAGACAAATTCAGAACAACTTTAAGCTAAGAGGAAATCAGAGCTTCCTCCCAGAGGTCTCTGCAGATTCAGATGGGTGTAAGAGTGATCACTGTGACTTCTACATCCGGACAACCTATCTTCTGCCTTTGAGGCTCGGTGGGGAAGCCTGAAAGAGGCTTTTGTTAGCAATTCAATTTTCAATCATGTTTCCCTTAGTGTTTTAACTGGCTCAGGGATCCCCCCTCCTCTCCAAATGCACCACTTGTTCCCTGGCTTGGAGTTGGAGCTGGGCAAAGATACAAGGAGGCTTCTCAAAGAAAATAGGGTTGCATCTTTCCCATGTACAACATGCAAACAAATCTACAGTCGGGGATGCAAAGCTGGATGGAGTCCGGGGGGCAGGCAATAATGAGATACCCCCTTCAAATGGACAGCCCCCTGCAAATGGAAATGCTCCTAACAAGTACCAGGCCCTGGAGGCATAAGTATCCCAACCCAATCTGCTGAAAAGCTGCACTGGCACTGAAGATTTTTGCATGCAACTGAGCCAAAGCCTGCCTTCTGTGCACATTTAGAGAGCAGTTAGCTTCCTGCTGCAAGATCCCTAGCCAGCTCGAGTATGGTGAGAGAGAAACACATGAGTTTGCGAGCTGCTGCTTTGCAAGGGCCTGAGATCCCTCAAATCAAATCACTTGGGCTCTTTCCAGCAGGAGGAGAGGTAGGGAGAACAACCGTCCTCCTAAAGCAGCACTGGCAAGGTCAGTGAGGGACCACTGTCCTTGCCATGAGACCACAGCTCAGAGCTGCCCTGGGCTCCATGTCGGCCATAATGAGTGTCCCGTTGCCCCACATACCCTGGCTTTCCCCCTCAAAGGTGCCAAGGACTGGGATATCCCTACTCAACTGCCTGGACTCATCCCTCTTGCCTGTACCCCACAACGCCCTTGGGTGCCACACCAGCCCCACTGCAGAGTGAGGGGTCCCAGAGCCTGCGAGAAAGGGCTCCACAGCACAGAGCCGCTCCCTGCGCCACACAGGAATACCTCCAGGTCCCCTTCCATGGGAGGAAAGAATGCTAGATCGCCGTGACAGCCTCACGCCAGCAAGATGCCCCGAGTAGCACGCTGCTGCGCACGCTGGGGCTGCGCCAGCGCACCGGGACGCACGCCTGGGTGCGTCTGCTGCTGGAGGGTGGGGATGGGCCCTCTGCCAGTGAGAAATCCACATCCCGACCCGAACGCGAGATTTTCCAGCACTGTTGATTACAATACTATATTGTGCTCTCGCCTCTAGCAGCTGGAAGTGTTACAAGAACAAATACCAGCAAGAAATGAGATACGACGCAGCTATTTTGCCTGTGAGCTGGTGCCATTAGCAGAGGGCTGACTTGTTGCAAGTTCCTGACTTGCTGAAACTCCCAGCCATGCAAGGTAGGGAGACAGGGAAAACCCACCCCCAGCCCCTTTTCAAACCAGAGCCTTTGAGGCCATAGGACCCCCTTCTTGCCTTTTCCGAACAGCACCCAGAGCCTCACGAAAAGCAATACAGCCCAAATATCACACCCGCAGTCCCCCTTGTCCCCCTGACAAATTGCCAGCACCTGCTGCAGACCACAGAAAACACCTCCAGGGCTCTCCAGTCTGGACCTTGTCACAGTCAGCACAAACCTAAGGGATTCCTGGATGCTGCAGTGCTTTTTAGCGGAGCTAGCGTGGCCATTTCCAGTGGTCTCTCAATGCAGGAAGGAGCTGGACCGTGGCAGTGGGGCAACTGCAAACTGGCACCCAAGAGAAGGCAAAGCTCTTTGGCAGTAGGGACATGCAGCAGATGCTTCCTTGCGGGGATGTCTCTAGCTACAGTGAGTGAATTGTTTGCTCCTGTTGCCATTGGCAAGCCAAGAAGGGGAACTTCCCAGCTGGGCTGTGCGAGGAGAACGTCCCTGACACCCTTGCCAGGGCTGTATGACAAGCGATGGAGCACCTTTGCCAGTCGCAGCAGCTTCATGAGATGGCTTTGAACACGTGGCAAACGGGGCCAAGATGCTTGGTTCAGGTGTCAGGATAAGGCACTCCATCCTGCATCCCTTGGCCTTCGGCTAAAGCACCTCACTGTTATTTCCCTAGAGGAACCTGGGAATTGAGCACTCACCTCAGCCTTCACCGCACCCTCCCCAGTGAGAGTACCCAGCTCCGAGTCGCCAGACCTTGGAAAGCACCGACCTAAGACAGAGATCTCCCCTCGTATGCCAGACACGGAGAGCGTAACACCTTGGCCAGGACCCAGAGATGCTCCGCCTCTCTGTCTTGCTGCTCCGCATCCTTCTTGTCTTCACCCCAAACACATCAGCTCCCACTGGGATTGCAGAGGGACCCACACAAGCAGGAGCAGACACCTCTTAACCCAAGCCACTCCAGCCCAGCATCGCACCCTGAATCCCCCAGCACCACATAGAGAGTGCGCTACAGTCTCCTCATTCGCCACCCAGTACCATTTCCTCGAGACAGCTGACAGCCGCCAAGCCTCGATGGGCCGCTTGGATTCTTTGTTGCCGACTGTCTGGGAACTCAAGCCTCAAGGCGATCATTTTTGCGACCCCCTCATCACCCCGAGGGGCAGCCAGCAAACAGTACTGCTTTAACACCAAGGGTAAAGGGGTCAGAGCCCGGGGAAGCCATCCTCCATCCATGTGTGCATCCCTTGTCTGCTGGTCCCTGCTAATCACCTCTCTGAAGGCAGCGGGTGTCTTTCAAGACAGCCTCGAGGCCATTTCTGGCTTGGCAGCCCCAGGATTTCACCCAAAGGGGCCGGGGTCTGGCGTGGGAACACAGCCTCATTCAGAAGCTCATCCCAGCACATCGGCGATAGGACAGCGGGAAGGAGAAACGCACAGGGAGAGCGGCAGAGCAAGGTCGGGCGCAACAGGAGGCCTCCCCCCAAAACTTTCAAGAGAGATGCTCTACATTCATTAAATAAGGAGGTTCAAGGCACCTCTGGAAACGACGGCTGGTCCAGCTATGCACCGCTAACAGCTGGAATACCATTCCCCATGCCAGTCAGGAGTCAGTGTGTTGGGTGTTAACACAGAAGTCCTGGGAGAAAGAAGAATGACACATTTGGTGGAACATGAAGGTACTACCTACCACCCTGATGCCATTCCTCCCCTATTTCCCCAGCACCTTCTCCTGCTTTCTTCACAAACTTCATTTCTGCTCTGACACCTAGACATACATTTCTATTGCTCTGAAGAACATGCGCAGTCTATCTTTCCCTGTCTTTATTTTCTCCCCTTTCGAGAGGGACATTTTAGTTTGTCTGAGCGATACAAGGGTCAAAAATCACCCAACAACGAAAGTTGGACACAAAACGCCTCTCCTGCCTTCCAAACAGGGAATCAAACATTAGCCGCATGTAAATAATTAACCTCGAGGCAAAGGTGCTTGGGCAGCTTGGGGAGGGAAGAGCAAGCATGTGCTTGTGCAAGTAGGGTCACAGCCCCTAACCCAGCCTGCAGGGGAGCAACACCCCGGCACTTCCTTCAGCACTTGCTGAAGGTCACCTTGGAGCATCCCTGCTGCCATGGCCGCTCTGCAGTCAGACCGAGCCAGCCCCAAATGATGATCCAGTCAGGTGGGCAAAGGGAAGAGCCCAGTGCTTCCCGGAGCAAGGAGAGAGACCCCAGAGCTCCGCCATGGAGAGGCAAGAGCTGCCCCCAGCCTGCACCCCATGCCCACGGAGGAGCTCACTGGAGCAAATCAAGCCCTGCTCCCAGGAGAACAGGAGACTTGGTACACTGCGAACCGCTGCTCTCCTGCTCCTCGGACCCCTGGATAGCCAAGAGCCCAAGTCACATTTAGGAACAGCACTGTGACAGTCAATGGTGTCTGCAAACTGACCCCGGACCCCGGCACGGACACAATTCTGCCACTTGCACTCAAGGGGCTTCTCATTGTGGTCACAGGGATGTTGCCTCTTAACCTGGCCACTGAATTTCACAGGAGCTGAAACAGCCCAAGGACAGGAGAGGGATGCTCAGCCTTGTGGAGGGAGCCAAAAACCAACAGCAGCAGTGACATGAAAGAGCTGAGGCTGGATGGAAAGAGATTTTGGCCAGGGGTCTCAGCAGCCTCTCACAGTGACAAGGGAAAAGCATCCCTTGTTGCCTTCCGACTGGTAAGAGCTACCTGGAGGCAATGTAGTCCCCCAAAACACAGGGTGATTTTCCCCCAAATTAGTGACAGTTGCCCTCTCTTGCCACACAGCCATAGCTGTGCATCTGCCCTGCCACTGCCTGCAGGAAACGGGAGGGAGCCAGCCCCAAGCTGCATCCGTGGGGAGATGACCCCCCTCCCCACCAAACCATCCACCGCAACGCTTCCTCCAGCATCCCAAGGCCGCGATGAGGAATTGGGTGATGCAGGACCGATGCGAGAGGCTAAATTGGCTCCCAGCTCTGGCCGGGCACTGAAGCCAGGTCTGTTTGGGGGAACAGCTCTGTCTAAAATGGACAGGAACATGCCATGCCATGAGCTCAGACCTGTACCCAGGACAGCAGAACCCTGAGAAAGGGGTAGGCTCCATAAAAAGAAAGGGCGCACAATGGACACATACCCCCAAAACACCCTGAAAACCAAAGCTACCTTACCTGGTGGGGTTTGGGGAGGGGAGACACACACAAAAAGAGATTACCCAGCCACATTACCTGCAGAAACATTAATAAAGACACAAGAATACCCTTCGTCCTCCGCAGGGAGAGAGTCACACAGGAGAGGCAGGTGCCCAGCGGCCAAGTGCATCCAGCACAGGTCTCTCACGGCCTCACAGAAGCCCTGGCATGGCGGGGGGGTTATGGGGACAGAAGCGTTACACCCAGGGACCAGGAGCAAGCAGAGAAACCACTCCAAGTAGCGGTGACACCGCGATTTAAGCAGCCCCTCCCACTCATGCAAAGCAGCCCAAATTTCTGCCTCGCTGCCGTGGCTGAGATAATTCGGCAATCGGAAATGTTTGGTGCCCAAGGTGGTACAGTAGGGCAGGCGGGCTGGGAAGGGCAGGCAACGACCAGCCTCTGGCGTCAGTCCAGGAAAGAAGGAAGCAAACCCTGCGCTGTTACTACTATAAAGTCGCATAGTGGAGGTTAGTAAATCAAACTCGAGAGGATCAGAGTTATCGGCAGAAGGAAAGTCCACATCATTAGTTGCATTCATGTTAGGAGCAGAAGGGCTCCAGCTCCTGTTTACACCAGCTAGCGCTAGCCCCCAGCGGCCAGCAGGTCGTCCAGTGCCTTGCAACAGTTGGCTGCTGCTACGTTTCATGCTCCTGTCACCTGGCGGGGTGGCACTTAGAGCAGCATGGGGCAGCCCAAAGGCTGCAGAGGGTCCCCCATCTCGCGTGCTGGCGCGAGGGGACAGCTCCGGGTGGTCTGCAGCACGTGACGTAGCTGATGCTCCATCTCTGTTTCGGGAAGGTGCTACATGGGCCGGCTGTGCTTTGGGGCTGGCAACGCTTCCTAAACCCTCTCCTGAGAAGGGCTCCTGGGGAGGTACCGCCTGCTCGCGGGCACCGTCACCTGGTGAGAAAGGGAAAGGAGCACTACCTGGACGGGGTGCCACCGGCCTCTGCAAGGACACCTGAGTCCCTTTCCGTTCACCAAGCGGCTCTGTTGGCTCAGGGAGCACCACCTCGGGTCCCCCTGTCGCCAGGAGGTGCGGGCCTTCAGCGGAGCTGCCGGTCGCATCCGGGCTGCGGGCAGGTGCCGTTCCGTTGGGAGGAACGGCTGTCAAAGCGATGCTCATTGGCGGTTGCGCCGTGCTCTCCGTTGTCCCCGTGACGTTGTCCCATCGCTCAAGCCTGCTGAGGGTGCCTTCAGCCATGTGTGGGAGCTCCGTGCCAGCACTAGTAATGCTCTCATTGCCTGTGGGCACTGCAGCACTGGGACCCGGCTCCCAGCTTGGCAGGCTGGCGACGTCCCCCGACCCCTCCTCGTCCTGCGTCGCTGTCCACGGGGACGCACTCGACCTGGGAGCTGCTGGAGAGGTGAGCGGCTCTGTCACCAGCTTAGATGCAGCGGTTCTCCCTTCGGGGGCTATGGTCGTGCCCCTGACTTTTGAGTCACCCCACAACCAGTTCAGGAGCTGCGCTTTGGCGAAGCAGCAGCAAGCTAGAAAGAGCAAAAAGCCTAGGCAGCGCGGGGCTGGAGCCATTCGGAGGAAAGAAAAACAAGCCCCGTTGCTTTGGAAAGAAAAGTAGAAGGGACGAGGGAAAAAAAAAAAGGAAGGGGAAATCAGAAGTTTTGCACTAGACGGACGCCCGGAGCGCTCACATCGGTCTCTCCTCCCTCCCCAGCTCTCTGTGCATAGTCCTTCACACAGGAGCAGACGGGAGGAGTGGCTCCGCTGGGCTGGCTGAGTCAAGCCCTCCTCTCCCAACCGCTGGCCTCCCTCGTTCAACACCCCTCGCACCAGGCACAACCCACCCAGGCGACAGGGGGTCTAGGGCAGGGACCCACCTGAGCCCCCTGAGAGACATCTCCCAGCCAAGCCAGCCAGCGCGCTAGCCTCCTTGCCTGCACCCTGCTCTGCACCAGCCAGATGCTGCTTCCAGTTTTTAACTCCTTCCTACCCAAAACATCCCGGAAACCTCTTTCACCCCCTCACAGCTCCAGTTAAACTACTGACATTGAAAGCCGTCTCATGTACGCAAGGGGTCACACGCTGCTTGTGGACATGGTTTCCAACGCATTGCCCAGCTTGGGGCAGCCTGCAGAAACCAAGGCTGCAGTGGGCATGGCTGCTCCCCTGCGCTGCACAGTCCTGCCTTTCTAGGAGGTCAGGCCCAGTTTCCCAGATGGCAAAGGAGTCTCCAGCTGCGGCTCGCTGCTGGACCCTGTCCTCATCTGACATCCCCGCTCCAGGAGGAGCCCTGCCAGGAGGCCCTCTTGCAGCCAACGCTCTGGCTTCCCCTCCAAAATCTTGCGCCATGGGATTTTTCTTGGGAGACCTGGCTGCAGCAAGTTATGCTGTCAGCCTGCCTGGGCTCCGGCATGACCTCCCTGCACAGCCACTGGCAGCTGGGACAGCAGGTCAGTACTTGGCTCTGGCGCCCTTTTCCCCAAAGGTTTCGTCAGGCCTTTGTGGCTCCAGAATGATTTCTCCCATAGCCCGCTGGGAAGATCCTCAGTCTGCTGGTTTCACCTGCTGGCAGCACTGCTCCCAAGCTCTAGGCTAACCCACACGGGCTATAACTTCAGAGTAGAATTAAGAGAAGAGAAAAATTCCAGAAAACACTTCCAAGATTTCTGCTATCTGGAAAAACAGCAAGTCTCAAGAGCAACAAGCGCTTTTGAGATGCTTTCCTGGCTTGGTTACATGTCCAGGGTCGCCCAGATGTTATTAAATGACAGCGAGCGACCAGGGAGCGCAGGTGAGCCTCCCTGGCTCGCATCACGCACCAGCTTTGTTTCGAAGCCAGGGCTTCTGAGCATTTTACCCTTTAGCACTCAAAGACAACTGGATTTAACTGAAGCCAACTACGAAAATCTCCACTGAGAAGCTTGGCGTTGGTTTTTTTCCACTGAGAGGAAAGGCACCAAGCACGCTGCTCTGTTGGCAGAGCTGCCAGCTCTGCGGGAGCAATGCGGGGCTGAGCCACTCCGGCGACACGCGGTGACTCGAGGCTCCTCCAGCACTAGCCCCGAGCCTCCCAGGGGGACAGATCTGGCCGAGGGGAATGTCTCCCCCTGGACCGAGTGTGGGGATTTGTCTGCTCAGAGCCCTCTTCAAATGCCACAGCACTGAGATCGGAGCCCTGCTCAAAAGAAAGGGGGAAGGAATCAACTTAAATAAGGAAGGCTACAGGCTTTTCTGACTTGTTCCCATAATTAGCCAGCTGGCGCATGCCAAAAGCAAAGTCACTTGCTCTTCATTCCTGGTTAAAAATAGCCAAAAATCCTGTTATCAGGCCCATTTCCCCAACCTTAAGATTTCCCCTCCCATCCCCAGCACTCCACTCTCCCGCAAACAGTCTTGGGGCCATGCTCCAGAGCGCACTTTGGCAATGACAAACCCGTTGCAAGCCTTGATGCAGCGTCCCAGCTGCTCCGGCATGGCGAAACATGCCATGGCCTCAGCCACCCCATCCCCAGGATCCCGCCTGAGTCACTTGGCACACATGCACATCTGTGATGGGTTCAGCTACAGCTTACCTGCCCGGACAATTCACACGTGTAGCCCAGTCACTCTCCAAACAGCACATTAAAGATCAAAGACGTACTCCGGAGATGGCAAATCACAGGAGAAGCTGCCATCTCAGGCTTCCCCCACCCCAGAAGCTGCACGGTTGGGAACGCCATGGTCTCAAGTAGACCCCCTCCACCCCCGACTCCACATTTCCACTGCCAGCATATTGCAGGAGGGGATTTTACCCTCCCTCTTCTCTGATTTTAAAGAACAGAAATACAAAGTACAAAGCAGCTCACTAGCATTTAAAGCAACCGTTTGACAAGAGTCAAGAAATACTCAGAAGAAGAGTGAAAACGGCAATTAAAATACCTTTTAGCTACATATAATGTTTTCCACGCTCTTTTTTTTTTAAATGTGATACGGGTGAGTTTTTGGACTAACATACTAGTTGACATGGTAATGATGCTGTGTTAGTCTATTTGCCCCAAAACTGATGTTATTACAAGAGCATTTTGTGGAACAGACCTCCCCAACCATGAAACAGCCGACGACTAATCTAATACGGGACGCATTTTTGTCTTTATGTCAAAGTTTCCATATTCGCTGCCTTCCCTCTCCAGAGCACACTTTGCAAGTGTTGAGAAAGCAGTCCAAGGCCTGAAGCTCATTTCAGGTCCTGAAGACCCAAAGGAAAAAAAAAACTCTCTCTTCAGCCTTTAAAATAGCTCCAAAGTGAAGCAACACCATCCAGGAACAAGCACCCCAGCTATTTGCTTGCCGAGGACGCAGCGGTTTCCTTTCCGATGGCCTGCCAAGGCCGGCTGCCCTCCCGAGGGGCTTCACCCCGCGGGAGCTGCAACAGCGTATGTGCTGGCACCAGGGGCGCTGCCGGAGCCGAGCGCCACACGTTGCCTTTGTCAACCTGCCTCCTCAAGTTCGAACAGGACCCCGCTGCGCCCTGCTCTGCTTTCCAAGGCTGCTCCTCCAGGCGTAAGCCGGTCCCGGGACAAACCCACATGCCTCTGCCCCAGTAACCCCATCCCTGCTGGAGTGGCCAAGCAGCCCTCCAGCAACAGACCCCGGTGCCTTCCCCCACCAAAGGCGGCAAATCAGGTCTTTAAGGCGTTTCCCATCTGCTTAAAGACGTATTCCGGACGATTTCTCCTCGCAGCTGATCTATTATTTCATGTAAGGGGAGCGGGAGGGAAGACTGAAAAAAAATCCTTCACCCAAAGTGGCGCTGCAAAAAGAGCAGTTTCCCCTTTTCCCCCAGGCAACCTGAGATTAATCTCACTGGCCAAAAGAGCTGGGAGTTATCATGAAACCTGCTCAAAGTGACCTCGGCAAACAGCGCTTTGGCTAGAAACCGAGCGAGTTTGGTCCAGCACTGACCAAATATGGGCCGGGGAGGCAGAGCGGGAGCACGGGGGACAGCATTTGACGGTCTTGTTCCTGGGCCATCCGGACAGACAGACAGCGAAGCTTTTCCCTGGACAGAGCCCAAATCAATTCCTCATGCTGGTGAGTCAGGGCGACCCGCGACCGCTGCCGCCCCGAATACGCTGAGCTGCTTGAGGCGTTTTCCTCCCCTCGCAGCTGGGTGGTTTTGCAGAGCCCAGTCATGCAAGTTAAAGGCAATCTCCAGCTGTTGCTGGAAGAGAGCCTTAGAAAAAGCAAGGCATTGCAACCAGCTCGAGGTCGAGGGGCCGAGCTCTCGAACATGTCTCCGCGGCATGCGCGTGACCTGCTGAGCTCCGCAGGCGCTGCAGCGAGGATGGGGAGACCTCCTGCCCCTGCGCTGGGATGCAAAGGGGTGCACAGAGGCGAGGGCAAACAAGGGTGACCACGTCTCAACGTGTCCGAGATAGGCAACGCTGACTGCTGCTTGCTTTTCTCCTGCCTCACCAAAGGCCAGCAGATGGGATAGCTGGAAAAGCGATGTTCAGCAGCATTTCTGTCCCTGCCCCTGGGTGGGCGGCTGTCGGAGGCAGAGACAAGCCCTGCCAAACGCAGAGGCGGGTGGTGGGGTGGGGAGGCACGAAGGAAAAGCCCTAGCGCCCATGCCGAGCAAGGCAGAGAAGCAGCCCTTTAAGCTGCCACGACAATAGGTGGATTCATTTTGGCCACAAAGCGGCCATTGAAGGCGCGCGCGGGTGCCGCTGAGGAACGCCGCTCCGCTTGCAACGTGGCACGCCGCCCCAGACAGGAGGATCCCGGGGTGCCATGCCGCAGGGCGGCCGTGGTGCCATCCCGATGCTGGTGAGGGTCGGCGGCTGAGAGCATCCTCGGGCTGGCGGGGTTGAGACACCACCCGCCTCCGCAAACGCCGCTCGGACCATTCCCAAGGGTGGCGCGGGCGGGTGATGCGCCAGGTAGGAGGG